TAGTACAATTATCATTACATAATTACTTTTGTTACATTATTTGCATGAGGCTCAAGCAGAGTTAGAATTTTCTTAAGGAATCCTCTTTAAAAAGAGTCACCTGCCTGAGGGAATGTGGTTTTGTGTTGAATGAGTGAGATGGAGAGGTAGCAAGTATAAAAACTGAATAGCGCGGACTGTGTTACCTTGTTTTAAACTGAAAGTTGACCCAAAAACTAGGATGGGGCTACCTTTGTAAACTATGCCAGATGAGGGGAGTGGTTGAAACTTGTTTGTCAGTTCAGTTTGGTGCCACTAATGCGGTTTGGTTCAATGTAGCTCAAATAGTCACAATATCTTTACTTTTTACTAACTTTCAGATAATCACATAAGTAAGATCGAAGTTTACATTTTTTATGTACATGCTGATGTTTATGGTAGCATCCGAAGATAAGTAAATCACCTATTGAAAGCATTTTTTTTTAGGCTGGTTGATTTTGAATTCACTGTGTTGTATTTACATTAGACAAAGATTATATTAGGTAATGAGTTAGGCCACTCAAGACTTTTCCAAGTTTGCAAAATGCTCATTTTCAGATGTTGGTTTGACAGGCTCTCGCTTTTAAACAAATAGAATGGCTGGTCAAGCTGTAGTCGTTAACTATTATATAGGTGCCAATATGAACAAAATAAATTTTGTTTATTAAAACGTGTTTAACAATCATAACATCAAATTCAATAAAAAATGTACCACATCATATCATCACATCAGTGTTTCCATACTGTTTTCCCCCAGTGATGTCTAGTCCATGCTATACATGTTTGTAAATTATCTTGGGTAGTTTCGAACAAATAGACAAACTGAACTTGTAGGCCTACTAAACTAATCCTCATGTGTTTGTGCTTTACAGGAGGAGAAGACACAGCGGCTGGTCAGATGCTACTCTGAGGCCATGCACCAGCAGATGGACGCAGGGACACAGACAGACCCTGTGGTGGTCCTGTCACTGGCCCAAGCTGCTGTGTTGGGACTCATCTCCCAGAATGAGGTCTTTGGCGCCACCATAGCCCCCAACGGCTTTTACACCGGAGACCCCAAAGAATCCCCCGCTCCGCCAGGTGAGAGAATGGACTACGAGTACGCCGACCAGCTTATAGGTGCCAACGGTGACTATCTTGGGGAGAATTTGGGCGAGGATGGGCACATGCATTCCAGCTGTGCTGAGAGAAGGTGGCAGGGTCAACCCGAGAACAGCAAACCCCCTATAGGGCACCAAGACATGGCATTGCACGTTAAAGGAGAGGCCGTGACTCCAGGTTTGCCCTCCTGCACTCACATGATGAATGACATGGTGCCCAGAGAAGGCATGCAAATGGTCGACCCCTCCAGCTACAGGGTCCTGCCCAAAGCCCAACCCAACAACTGCAGCTCCACCTGTGTCCGAGACCCCAAGAGTACGCATACCACACCCGATCCACATTTACACCCTCATTCCCATGGCCACAGCCACGCACCTCATGAGGTACCTTCACGCAACAGGGGCCACACACATGAAAAAGGAGTAGATGAGGTAACCGAGGACAGGGACAATGGGAGAAACGGCATGGTGAAAGCAGGAACCGGCGGTGAGGAAATTAGCAGCTACTTTCAGCCGAGCGAGGTCGCCTATGAAGGTGGCGAGATGGAAGGGGTTGGAGACTTCGATGAGAACAGCGAGGGGATGTTCTGGACAGAGCCAGTAGAAGGAGAGGCACCCCGCGGCCGCCGTATCGACCGACTGGATATCAACATCCAGATCAACGAGTCATACTGCGTGGATGTCGGCGAGGGCCTGAAGCGCTGGAAGTGCCGCATGTGCGAGAAGTCGTATACTTCCAAGTACAATCTGGTCACGCACATCCTGGGCCACAATGGCATCAAGCCACACGCGTGTCCACACTGCGGCAAACTCTTCAAGCAGCCCAGCCACCTACAGACGCACCTGCTGACGCATCAGGGCACACGGCCACACAAGTGCACAGTGTGCAAGAAGGGCTTCACCCAGACCAGCCACCTGAAGCGGCACATGCTGCAGCACACCGACGTTAAGCCCTACAGTTGCCGTTTTTGTCGCCGTGGCTTTGCATACCCCAGTGAACTCCGTGCTCACGAGGTAAAGCACGAACGAGGTCGGTGCCACGTTTGCTCGCAGTGCGGCATGGAGTTTCCCACCTATGCCCACCTGAAGCGTCATCAGGTGAGCCACCAAGGACCATCCACCTTCCAGTGTAGCCAATGCAACAAGTCGTTCGCCTACCGCAGCCAGCTGCAGAATCACCTGCTGAAGCACCAAACGCAGCGCTCTTTCTCCTGCAGTCAGTGTGGCCTGCAGTTTCTTCAGCTTCATCAGCTACGCCAACACTCCCTCACACACAAGACAAACAAGCCTCAGGCCCGTGCTACCAAGGTACAGAGAGTTATAGTGTGCTTTTGAACATCTGTGTATGTTTACTGTTGTTTGCTATGGTGAGGTCACATCCAACATGAATAATGACAGTCTTACAGTTAAATTCATATATTTTATTTCAGTACATTATCAGCAATTGTTTTAATGATTGGTATTAGATAATACTGCATATTTTTGTCGGTTTACAGATTAGATTATCATCAAACAGTAACTTAAAGCAGTGTTTTCGCTAGGTTTTCTGGGGCCCCGTACAGTTTATTGCATTAGGTTTGAGTTTACTTAATGTCAAACTCAACCAACGATTCTAATTCATTGGTTTAAAGTCTTTTAACTCTGTTGTCTAACATTTTTCATCTAATCAGCAGATTCCAGAAATCCTCTTTTTATTATTATTTTAAAAGGAATATCTATCTTAAATACTGTACAATATAATGTTGTATATTCAGATCAAAACTCCCAGCCATTTTTTTGTAAACGAACAACGATTGTAGCATATGATCGATGTAGCCTGCATTGGTATTAAACACTGCAGTATAGCATTTCAGTCCACAACATACAATTTCATAGACATGCTAATGGTTTACACTAATTATCTACTGCAGATTAAAAATTCTAATTAATTTCAAATGTACTATTTCTTCACTTGTTGTTTGTGCTTGTTTTTTTTACCAGGGAACAAAGGGGTTTAAGTGTGATGTATGTGCCAGAGAGTTTACATTGTCTGCAAACCTAAAGAGGCACATGTTAATCCACGCCAGTGTCCGGCCATTCCAGTGTCATGTGTGCTTCAAATCTTTTGTCCAGAAACAGACCCTTAAAACTCACATGATTGTACACCTGCCTGTGAAACCCTTCAAGTGCAAGGTAAAACTTCAAACATTTATCACACATCTCTATGCGACACTTTCACCATCAGGGTGGTAAATCTCTTTTGATTTGTTTTCAACAGGTGTGCGGAAAGTCATTTAACCGAATGTACAACCTTCTGGGCCATATGCACCTCCATGCAGGCAGTAAACCCTTCAAGTGTGCATACTGCTCGAGTAAATTTAACCTCAAGGGAAATCTTAGCAGGCACATGAAGGTCAAACATGGAATGGATGTCTCTCCAGATGGGCAAGGTGAGAAGAACCTAACAGTATCTAATTGACATCCTCTATTGTGGCAGTAAAACCTTTAATTGTATATCATAATTTTTTTATTTTTGATACAGATGGCCCACCAAACATGGAGCCCCATGAGGACTATGAGGATGAGAACTTCAATTTTACAGCACCAGAGAATATGGAAAATAATGATGCGCCAAACCTAACTAAGCTCTCTGAGGTGGCCATCCAGGAACTTGACTATTATAACTTTGGGAAGGATGTGGGAAACTACAGTACAGCATAAAAAACTGTTTTTTCAGTCAGTCAAGCTGAATAAATATTAAGTAACAAATGGCCTGTGCTGGCACTTGTCAACCATGAGTTGATTGAGATGTTCCTCCATGAGTACCACTGCTCACCTTTTTGCAGTTGTTAATGAGCAGGTAGTTGGAGGCCACCTTGACCTCCTGGGGTTGATCTCATGGGGTAGGGTACTCCAGATCTGTCTCTGATGAAACGGATCGATAGTTTTTCAAAGAGTCTTTTGACTCCTTCCAGCTCAAACAAACATTGATGCTGTATTTTTAGTATGTTGTGGATCACATTGTTACGCTAATACCCAATACATTAGCATCATAAAATGCAGGTGCATACACATGCAGTCTTGTGTTAAGTAATACACGCCATCCTCCAAATATAATTTTGGTTGGGAATATGGGAATAGCAGGTGCATGCAGCCTTGTGGCCTTCATCGGTTTGGTACCTCAGAGCAGTCTTTTAACTTATTTTCATTTATACTGCCTTCACTTACAGTATCTCTTAGAAACACACAAAGAGACTCTTAGTGTAAAAACAAACAAACATGCAAGGCCCATATAAATGGTTGGAAATCTGCATGAGATAGGCTTAAATTAAAATGAAAAAAATTAATAAATAAAGAGTGAGTGCCTGGGCCCGGTGTAAGCTACTGCTCTTCGTCTGGTACAGGACCATATGCTGCCCATTCCTGAGCACCACTACTGTTGCCAGAACTAAGCTTCATCTAAAGTTTGGTTTAACAACCTCTGAGTGGAGAATTACTGAGTTCCGTTGTATTGATTTGCTATTTATTTTGCACTTTGAAAAAGCCAATTAATTACTTATGATGAGCCTATTTCATCACTGACTGTTTGAGTTCTGGTATAACTAAAAGAGATAAAGCCTGTGTCACATTCATAGTAGGTTAAATAAACTTGTTTTTTGAAGTTATTTTTTGTAAGTATTTGTATTGAAATTAATAATTGGAATAGACAATTTACTCAACTGACTTTTAGATTAGACTATAAACTTGGTTTGTTAAGTGAATTTAGGATAAGCATGTTATAAAAACACAATCTAGGTCCAGTTACTGTATCGTCAAATGGCATTATCTGAAAGAAAAAATATGACTAAGATAAGATTATTCAAGAGTTTATATTTTCTTTAATATTACATATTTAATGTTACAGGAACAAAAACAAACAGCATATTTAATATAAAACAACCATACAAGCAAATGCTGTTGTGTGTACAAAAAAGGGAAAAAAGAGGGAAGCAGAAAACCAACAAATCAAATCAACAAACAGACAAAGAATTTGATATTTTTTAGTTGATGAAACTGTCAGTAAATATGTGCAGCCTCCCACTTGAATTGCCTCCAAGCAGAGTGTTCCTGCTTGGGTGGAATGCCGTGATGGAGCACACTGTGGTCAGGTGGTCCATGTTTCGAAAAGTGTGAAGGCGGCGACCGCTCTCGTGATATACCTGAATTCGGCGAGGCCTGTCCACGCTGCCAATCACAAAACAGTCCTGCTGCTTGGGGTCCCACACTGCACTTAGCTTGGACAACCACCGACCCGTCTGCATGTTGTGCCTACATAGAAAATATTTAGCGTGCTGCTGTTACAATGGGCAGCTCTAATAAAAATGATTGGACAAAAATGGCTTAACCAAAACTTTTGGAAAAGGCCAGATGTGTGTTTGCATAAATTCAACATTATGGCATCTGTTTTCATCCGCCTTGTGGGCCATCGTTTTACATATGTTGTTTGACCATTTTTGCAGCTATTTTCACATTAAGTAATTCTTTTGATTTATAAACAGGTCTGTATCATGATGTTTGTAAAGATACACCACAGTTAAAAAGTTTGGAGTAGGCAAGATTTCTTCTCATGCTCACCAAGTCAAAAATTCAATTAAAACAGTAATATTGTGAAATAGTATTATAACTTAATTTTTTTTATTTTTAAAACTTAAGTTATTCTTGTGAGGGCAAAGCTGAAATTTCAGCAGCCATTACTTAAGTCTTCAGCATCCCACAATCCTTCAAAAATTATTCTAATATGCCGATTTGCTGCTCAAGATACATTTCTTATTATCAATGCTGAAAACAGTTGTGCTGCATAATATTTTTGTGGAAAGGGACACTTTTTTTTCAAGATTCTTTGATTAATAGAAACAATAGAACTGATGATTGTCATGATAGAGATAATTTTTCACACATATGATAACACCCATACTTACGTAATTGATTTTAGTACAGGAGATCTGCCCTCCATTAGGGAAGTGTCAAACACCCTGAAACAAAACCACAAAAAGGCTAATAAAACATTTGTAATACAAATTATAATGCATTTCCAAGAATCCCCGCAACCCTACAGAGAATAAACGGTTTGGGAAATGGATTGCAATTCCAATTCTTGTAAGACAATGGAAGACAACTTTATAACTTTTTAGTAGCTAAAAAGAAAAAAGAAAAGAAAAACAAAGCAAACACAAACTATTCTGGCTTAAAATATGGTCATAGCCAATGATGCTCTGGCACCCTCTACTGGTACATTTGCAAGAGAGAATGGAGGGACATTGTAGATTCAATATATGCACTTCTAGCAGTAACATTTGCGATCTCTGAGCACCTGATCGTGTTGTCCATACAAGTGGTCAGAACTCTGTTGCCTGTGAGTGGGGAGAAAAAGGCACTGGAGACACTGCGGCTGTGACCGTTGAGTTCACCAACTGCTAGATTGTTTCTTCTTTTCAGATGGCGCAAGTCATATATGTTCACAAATCTAAAAAAAAGAAAGAAAATAAACAATATGCTTCAGCCTGCAGGGTATGTAATCATTAGCTGCGTTTCCATCCACCTATTTTTATGCGCATTTTGGAATATCGCATTAAAGAGCAGGTCATATGGGTTTTTGAAAAATATCTCTTTTGCAGTTTATAACGTAGCTATTCTTAAATGAAAACAATCTGCAAAGTTGTTAATCAAAAAAGTGCATGATAAATAAAGATATTGTCTCTCAAAAGAGAGAGTTGATTCTGAATCGTCATATTTTCGAATCTTTTGCCTGTTACGGGTATACGTCACTGGGTAACACATTTGCATAATCCCCACCTGCCCGCGAAATACGAACAGTCTGACCTGCCCACAAACACTTCCGCTAGTTAGTGTGTTTACATCATGTTGAGAAGACGCTGTGTTCAGGATACCACAGAAATACAATTCGAACCTTTTGTTGTGTGCATGTCATTTTACCGATTGCTTCTCTAATCTTGGCTTTTATCTTTGTTGGCTTCTAATCTTCTTAATTTGGACTAACAAGCTCGATTGTATGATTGATGCGTTGTGTGTACATTTTCAATTGAGTGCTCAAAATATTAAGTTTTTCTGCTAAAATGTGATCTACAGGTGCATCTCAATAAATTAGAATGTCGTGGAAAAGTTCATTTATTTCAGTAATTCAACTCAAATTGTGAAACTCGTGTATTAAATAAATCCAATGCACACAGACTAAAGTAGTTTAAGTCTTTGGTTCTTTTAACTGTGATGGTTTTGGCTCACATTTAACAAAAACCCACCAATTCACTATTGTATTTGGCTATACGTCAGTAAAACAAACTTTCCTCTCCTGACAGCTGTTTTACCGTGCTTTTATTGTGCAATTTCTAAATCACAATATAGACCTACACAATAAGGCGCAAGCTGTTTTTTTCTTTCTTCGTAATTTAATGCACAAGTAAATATGAACACTGTGCATTTATACTAGAAAACATGCGTTATTTTTATTTTGTAAAGTACAAACGAAAATGAAACCATTTAAATGCATAAAATAACTAATTTTACAATCTGGCATTTATGTGCTGTTGAGTTCCGTCTTTTTTTTTTTTTTACCAATTCTTATCACTATTTGCATGTCTCATCAATGAGTATGCAATGATGGAAAACAAGCTTTTGGGGGTTTTTTAGAACCAAATAAGCAATAAAGCTAGTGAGCCCCTTTATTAAAATACCTGGAGGTGGGGAATAATACACAAATTGTCATATTCACTCAGCATTACTTGATCTAATTCACAAATATCTCAAATACAATTTAGTAAAAATTAATTGTATTCAGTTGTGTTTTAGGCACTAAAACAGTCCACTACTTTAGTCAATCACATTTTTATATTGAAATAATGAAGATTTCTGTGCCACCCCAGACTGGTTGTTGGCCCCTCCCTGGCCACCCCTATAAAAACATCCTGGCTCCGCCAGTGGTTGGCAGGTCTGCAGTTTAGCAGCTAAACTTTAGCTGTGGGCACGATTTGCTTGTATAAGTGTTTTTGTATTTTATGTCATTATTATAAAAAACGGATTGGAGCACTATATTACTGTTTTATGTAAAGGTGCTTTGTCAATGGTAGCACTCGCTAACTTGCTCAAGGACTCCTCTCTGTGCCAATCACAACAGGCTTGGCCAGCTGACCAATCAGAGCAGAGTAGGCTTATGAAAGGGAGGGGTTTTCTCCGAACTTGCTTGGAACAAATCGTTTCGAAATCATTGGCAAATTACTCTAATATTAAATGTATATTCTGAGAAAATGACAATGTTTTGTGACCTTAGAAGCATTTAAACCAGTTGTAGGGGACTCCAACACAATATTAGGACACTTTAAAATACCGTATGACCTGCTCTTTAAAAAAAACGCTGGATGGAAAATGCCAAGATGCGCATAAATTCTAAAAATGCCCATAAAAAAAACGTATGTGCACATTTGAGTAGGATAAACGTTTTATCCGATAAGAAAAATGCGCATAAACTATGATGGAAACACATTTACCGAATAAATTCCTCCATGCGCATTGAAAAAGTCACGTGACATTCCGCTATGAGACGGGATAACTTGACTAGCAGCGGACCGATCTCGTTCACAGCATCTAAATGGTGTTATGGTCATTCTGAAATGCCTGAGCAAAGTCTGTCGTCAAAGTATTTCTGTATAATTGTCTTACACGCTCTGAGGTGCAAGTAATTTATATCATATATGAAAATGATTATATTCAGTGGCTTCTTCTATATTCTTAGTGATATTTAGTGCCACAGTTTACCAGGAAGTGACGATTTTGTTCTCTTTGACTCGTTGGATGGAAACGGTGCTTTATTTGCATATGTTTTATACGATATAAGCTTAATATGTTTAAAAATTATGTTTATATATAATAAAATTATGTTTTGCGCATACGTTTAATTCAAATATTTGGATGGAAACATAGCTATTTACTCAGCAACTTGTGGAACATCATATTGATAATTATTTGGTGAAAATGAACTTTTTCATCCAGCATTATTCTAGTTAAGAAGTGTTATATAATACCTGCTCTCTGCCACTACAAAGTAGTGCTGTTGCACAGGATGGACATGAACACAGCGCAGAGGATTTGCAGCCATGGTATACAGAGATTCATATATTTTCCTGCAATCACATGTTTTCTTTATTATTTATGATGTAAATATATATGAAGAGTTCCTTTGCAAAAACAGATAACTAAGGATGTGGGAAACTACAGTACAGCATAAAAAACTGTTTTTTCAGTCAGTCAAGCTGAATAAATATTAAGTAACAAATGGCCTGTGCTGGCACTTGTCAACCATGAGTTGATTGAGATGTTCCTCCATGAGTACCACTGCTCACCTTTTTGCAGTTGTTAATGAGCAGGTAGTTGGAGGCCACCTTGACCTCCTGGGGTTGATCTCATGGGGTAGGGTACTCCAGATCTGTCTCTGATGAAACGGATCGATAGTTTTTCAAAGAGTCTTTTGACTCCTTCCAGCTCAAACAAACATTGATGCTGTATTTTTAGTATGTTGTGGATCACATTGTTACGCTAATACCCAATACATTAGCATCATAAAATGCAGGTGCATACACATGCAGTCTTGTGTTAAGTAATACACGCCATCCTCCAAATATAATTTTGGTTGGGAATATGGGAATAGCAGGTGCATGCAGCCTTGTGGCCTTCATCGGTTTGGTACCTCAGAGCAGTCTTTTAACTTATTTTCATTTATACTGCCTTCACTTACAGTATCTCTTAGAAACACACAAAGAGACTCTTAGTGTAAAAACAAACAAACATGCAAGGCCCATATAAATGGTTGGAAATCTGCATGAGATAGGCTTAAATTAAAATGAAAAAAATTAATAAATAAAGAGTGAGTGCCTGGGCCCGGTGTAAGCTACTGCTCTTCGTCTGGTACAGGACCATATGCTGCCCATTCCTGAGCACCACTACTGTTGCCAGAACTAAGCTTCATCTAAAGTTTGGTTTAACAACCTCTGAGTGGAGAATTACTGAGTTCCGTTGTATTGATTTGCTATTTATTTTGCACTTTGAAAAAGCCAATTAATTACTTATGATGAGCCTATTTCATCACTGACTGTTTGAGTTCTGGTATAACTAAAAGAGATAAAGCCTGTGTCACATTCATAGTAGGTTAAATAAACTTGTTTTTTGAAGTTATTTTTTGTAAGTATTTGTATTGAAATTAATAATTGGAATAGACAATTTACTCAACTGACTTTTAGATTAGACTATAAACTTGGTTTGTTAAGTGAATTTAGGATAAGCATGTTATAAAAACACAATCTAGGTCCAGTTACTGTATCGTCAAATGGCATTATCTGAAAGAAAAAATATGACTAAGATAAGATTATTCAAGAGTTTATATTTTCTTTAATATTACATATTTAATGTTACAGGAACAAAAACAAACAGCATATTTAATATAAAACAACCATACAAGCAAATGCTGTTGTGTGTACAAAAAAGGGAAAAAAGAGGGAAGCAGAAAACCAACAAATCAAATCAACAAACAGACAAAGAATTTGATATTTTTTAGTTGATGAAACTGTCAGTAAATATGTGCAGCCTCCCACTTGAATTGCCTCCAAGCAGAGTGTTCCTGCTTGGGTGGAATGCCGTGATGGAGCACACTGTGGTCAGGTGGTCCATGTTTCGAAAAGTGTGAAGGCGGCGACCGCTCTCGTGATATACCTGAATTCGGCGAGGCCTGTCCACGCTGCCAATCACAAAACAGTCCTGCTGCTTGGGGTCCCACACTGCACTTAGCTTGGACAACCACCGACCCGTCTGCATGTTGTGCCTACATAGAAAATATTTAGCGTGCTGCTGTTACAATGGGCAGCTCTAATAAAAATGATTGGACAAAAATGGCTTAACCAAAACTTTTGGAAAAGGCCAGATGTGTGTTTGCATAAATTCAACATTATGGCATCTGTTTTCATCCGCCTTGTGGGCCATCGTTTTACATATGTTGTTTGACCATTTTTGCAGCTATTTTCACATTAAGTAATTCTTTTGATTTATAAACAGGTCTGTATCATGATGTTTGTAAAGATACACCACAGTTAAAAAGTTTGGAGTAGGCAAGATTTCTTCTCATGCTCACCAAGTCAAAAATTCAATTAAAACAGTAATATTGTGAAATAGTATTATAACTTAATTTTTTTTATTTTTAAAACTTAAGTTATTCTTGTGAGGGCAAAGCTGAAATTTCAGCAGCCATTACTTAAGTCTTCAGCATCCCACAATCCTTCAAAAATTATTCTAATATGCCGATTTGCTGCTCAAGATACATTTCTTATTATCAATGCTGAAAACAGTTGTGCTGCATAATATTTTTGTGGAAAGGGACACTTTTTTTTCAAGATTCTTTGATTAATAGAAACAATAGAACTGATGATTGTCATGATAGAGATAATTTTTCACACATATGATAACACCCATACTTACGTAATTGATTTTAGTACAGGAGATCTGCCCTCCATTAGGGAAGTGTCAAACACCCTGAAACAAAACCACAAAAAGGCTAATAAAACATTTGTAATACAAATTATAATGCATTTCCAAGAATCCCCGCAACCCTACAGAGAATAAACGGTTTGGGAAATGGATTGCAATTCCAATTCTTGTAAGACAATGGAAGACAACTTTATAACTTTTTAGTAGCTAAAAAGAAAAAAGAAAAGAAAAACAAAGCAAACACAAACTATTCTGGCTTAAAATATGGTCATAGCCAATGATGCTCTGGCACCCTCTACTGGTACATTTGCAAGAGAGAATGGAGGGACATTGTAGATTCAATATATGCACTTCTAGCAGTAACATTTGCGATCTCTGAGCACCTGATCGTGTTGTCCATACAAGTGGTCAGAACTCTGTTGCCTGTGAGTGGGGAGAAAAAGGCACTGGAGACACTGCGGCTGTGACCGTTGAGTTCACCAACTGCTAGATTGTTTCTTCTTTTCAGATGGCGCAAGTCATATATGTTCACAAATCTAAAAAAAAGAAAGAAAATAAACAATATGCTTCAGCCTGCAGGGTATGTAATCATTAGCTGCGTTTCCATCCACCTATTTTTATGCGCATTTTGGAATATCGCATTAAAGAGCAGGTCATATGGGTTTTTGAAAAATATCTCTTTTGCAGTTTATAACGTAGCTATTCTTAAATGAAAACAATCTGCAAAGTTGTTAATCAAAAAAGTGCATGATAAATAAAGATATTGTCTCTCAAAAGAGAGAGTTGATTCTGAATCGTCATATTTTCGAATCTTTTGCCTGTTACGGGTATACGTCACTGGGTAACACATTTGCATAATCCCCACCTGCCCGCGAAATACGAACAGTCTGACCTGCCCACAAACACTTCCGCTAGTTAGTGTGTTTACATCATGTTGAGAAGACGCTGTGTTCAGGATACCACAGAAATACAATTCGAACCTTTTGTTGTGTGCATGTCATTTTACCGATTGCTTCTCTAATCTTGGCTTTTATCTTTGTTGGCTTCTAATCTTCTTAATTTGGACTAACAAGCTCGATTGTATGATTGATGCGTTGTGTGTACATTTTCAATTGAGTGCTCAAAATATTAAGTTTTTCTGCTAAAATGTGATCTACAGGTGCATCTCAATAAATTAGAATGTCGTGGAAAAGTTCATTTATTTCAGTAATTCAACTCAAATTGTGAAACTCGTGTATTAAATAAATCCAATGCACACAGACTAAAGTAGTTTAAGTCTTTGGTTCTTTTAACTGTGATGGTTTTGGCTCACATTTAACAAAAACCCACCAATTCACTATTGTATTTGGCTATACGTCAGTAAAACAAACTTTCCTCTCCTGACAGCTGTTTTACCGTGCTTTTATTGTGCAATTTCTAAATCACAATATAGACCTACACAATAAGGCGCAAGCTGTTTTTTTCTTTCTTCGTAATTTAATGCACAAGTAAATATGAACACTGTGCATTTATACTAGAAAACATGCGTTATTTTTATTTTGTAAAGTACAAACGAAAATGAAACCATTTAAATGCATAAAATAACTAATTTTACAATCTGGCATTTATGTGCTGTTGAGTTCCGTCTTTTTTTTTTTTTACCAATTCTTATCACTATTTGCATGTCTCATCAATGAGTATGCAATGATGGAAAACAAGCTTTTGGGGGTTTTTTAGAACCAAATAAGCAATAAAGCTAGTGAGCCCCTTTATTAAAATACCTGGAGGTGGGGAATAATACACAAATTGTCATATTCACTCAGCATTACTTGATCTAATTCACAAATATCTCAAATACAATTTAGTAAAAATTAATTGTATTCAGTTGTGTCTAAAACAGTAAAACAGTCCACTACTTTAGTCAATCACATTTTTATATTGAAATAATGAAGATTTCTGTGCCACCCCAGTTGGCCCCTCGGCCCCTCCCTGGCCACCCCTATAAAAACATCCTGGCTCCGCCAGTGGTTGGCAGGTCTGCAGTTTAGCAGCTAAACTTTAGCTGTGGGCACGATTTGCTTGTATAAGTGTTTTTGTATTTTATGTCATTATTATAAAAAACGGATTGGAGCACTATATTACTGTTTTATGTAAAGGTGCTTTGTCAATGGTAGCACTCGCTAACTTGCTCAAGGACTCCTCTCTGTGCCAATCACAACAGGCTTGGCCAGCTGACCAATCAGAGCAGAGTAGGCTTATGAAAGGGAGGGGTTTTCTCCGAACTTGCTTGGAACAAATCGTTTCGAAATCATTGGCAAATTACTCTAATATTAAATGTATATTCTGAGAAAATGACAATGTTTTGTGACCTTAGAAGCATTTAAACCAGTTGTAGGGGACTCCAACACAATATTAGGACACTTTAAAATACCGTATGACCTGCTCTTTAAAAAAAACGCTGGATGGAAAATGCCAAGATGCGCATAAATTCTAAAAATGCCCATAAAAAAAACGTATGTGCACATTTGAGTAGGATAAACGTTTTATCCGATAAGAAAAATGCGCATAAACTATGATGGAAACACATTTACCGAATAAATTCCTCCATGCGCATTGAAAAAGTCACGTGACATTCCGCTATGAGACGGGATAACTTGACTAGCAGC